AATTTATATATTTATATATATTACCTTTAAAAAAACTAAAGGATAAAGTGAGATTTTTTGTAATAAGATAATTAATTAAAGTAAATGAATAATAACAAAGTTAAAGTGAAAAAATATTTATCTACTTTAAAAAATGAGTAATGACAATTAATTTAAGATAAAATCAAAGTAAAAAACAACAAGTATTTTAAGACAAAGAAATTAAATGAAATTCTCAATGATATTAAATAGAGAATAAAGTGAGATAACTAAATCATATTAGAGGAGTAATAAATATTCTCTTTTTAATGTGATCTAGTTATCTCACTTTATAAATAGAGATGATTTGATTTAATTGTCTTATTTTTATTTTAATAAAACATTAAATATTAATATTTTAATATTAAACTCATTATATATAGAAGACATAGAAACATGTTAGAATTTTTTATTTAATTATGAGTAAAGGTAAAAATAAAAAATAAATTTTAATTATTATAATAAATAAATTTCTTAATAATTATAAATGAATAAAATGGGACAACTAAAACAGATTAGAAAGAGTAATCAAATTTTCAATAAAAATTGTTGTTTGGGCCTAAAGTTTAGCAAAAATCTCATCATTTCTCAAGACTTCCGGCTCTGTTTTTTCTTATACAAACTGTGTAAAGAAAGCGCCCCTATTAATTATGTAGTTTAATGATAAAATTATTTATATTTTTAGTCACAATATTAGATTCAACCCTTAGTTTCTATATATCAAAAACCATATAAAGAAAGTGCACTTTAGATATTGAAATCACTAAAACACCCCTAATCACTTCACATGGTATGAGTTTCATTTAGGTGTTCTAATAATTATAGTACTCATCTTTGTATTTTTAGATTGAACGATGTAGGAATCAAATTAAATTTATTGAAACAGAACTACGAAAAGATACTTCATGGCTTAATCTAAAAATTACTAAAAATGGCAATTAATTTAAGATAAACTAAATTTAAAAGTAACTATTATTTTAAAATTAAAAAAATATTATTAAAGTACATGTTGAATAAACTTAAGAAAATATCCCATCTAAATTGATTTGGTTGTCCCACTTATTGAATAATGATCTAAATTAATTGTGCCACTTTTCCTTTTAAGAAGAGATTAAGTCCTACTATTTCAATTTTATCTAAAAAATAGAGATGACATTGGGAATTGTTTTTTTTTGAACTGATTTTACAAGAGGCTGGGGTTCGGGAGGAGGGGGGAATGCACCATGGGTGGCTGTTGCCACTTAGGCCCCGTTTGGTATAGTGGTTTTGGGGTAGCGGTTAGCGGTTTTACCTAAACCGCTAAATATAGGTGTTTGGTAAATTTATATATTTCAAAACCGCTACAACTAAAGTGTTTGGTAAAATTTTTATTTAGCGGTTTGAGACTAGCGGATAGCGGTT